TTTCAAATTTAAGTTTGGCATACAATACAAGATAGTTAATTGCACATATGCTCAATTCTGGCAACTGGTGATTCAGAAATAACCAGTGTTTTTGAATGTACCTAGAATAGGTTGAATTAAGACACAAAGCATGTAAATTGACTGTGCATGGCCATTTAAAGTTTCCACAACAAATACTCTGTCATACATACATGTAGGATTATTTCAACAACTTACTTCCCTGTCTTTCCATCCCATAATTTTACTGATTTATCAAAAGAAGCGCTTGCAATTATTCTGGTGTCCGGTGAGAATAAGACTTCATTTATTAACTGTTGATGTCCAGTCATTCGACATATTGACTTTTTATCTTCAGATGGCTGCCATAGATACATAGTGAAATCATCTGACCCAGAAACTAATCTTTCAGGTCCTGAACCCTGTTATAAAAACAAATACTGATATTGATCAATGAACATAATATACTATGGGATATCTGGCTGAGATCATTACTTCAGTTGTTAACTGGTCACCTGATACAGGGGAGAAAACTCTGAAATTTGAAAAAAGGAAAGTAATTCATATTCACCGGTTTTGCAAGTCTGACAATGTACACTAATCTAAATGTTTTTTTTTTTCCGACAATTTTGTTTGATATACAAAAAAAAACACATGTGCATATATTAACTTAAGCTGCTGATTGTATTTAATTATTCACTGGATTTTTATTTTCACTAATAAGTGTAATCTGCTAAATAAAATCCATCTGAACATGTTAAATAAGAAAAGAACTCATTATTTTCCTGGTAATTTATAACTTACAACCAAGTGAATAACAAAATAGAATTGGTTTAATTAGTTAGAATGAAATATGACGAGCTATAGAGATCACAAAATACTTTTAATTATCAATATACGTGTAATGTAACTCATAATTTTAGCTGAAAACTCAAATATCACAAATTAAATCTGCCATGAACATTAAATGTTTTATCCAGTGATTAGTAAAACTGAAATACCTTCGCTGAATTATATCTGTCCTCTGCCAGTTGTGCGACATCCTCCTCTGAAAACAGGTGTAGAATATAAAGTTAGTTCAATATATAAACCTGGTCAACCGCAGTGTCAACTCAAAGTTATCAATGTTTACAATACCTTGGTGTGATGTTGATGACTTGGATGGATCATATGCCCCTGTTCTAAGCACATAATCTGTACTTAATGCTAAAGTATTGACCCAGTGACCATGACCTTGTAATGTACGGCAAAGAACTCCCTGCATTTCAAAACAAACAATATATTCAAAAGTTCATTATGAATTCATTTGCTATGTTCACACGGCAGCATTCTATCAGAGCCGAACTACTGCTCCTCCCACGGATTAACAGGAGATTATCTCCAATGCGTTCATATGGCCGGGAGCCGTACGAGAGCCAAGATCTGCCAGAGTTCGATTCAGTTCGTTCAGAGCCGAATGGAACAGTGCCCTCGAATAATTAGTGACTGAAAACGATTTTACTGTCGTGCTTGTGTTTTTTCTTTACATGGCATGATGCTGTTGAGCTAGGAGAAAAAAGAGCCTGAGCATGGAGGTAGAAAAGACAATGACTGGTATTATGATTTAGGTACTAGTATCTCGAATAAACAGGAAACATGGTAGCTAAAATGCGTTTAATACAGCCTATTCGCTTAAGTTATTGTCATGCAAAATAACTATTTCGTAACTATTCAATTGTAGTGATATCTAAACTACTAGGAAGAATCACAGATTCTCTCTATCTATCATAGAGGGACTATAGAATAATCTAAACCTACCAGGAACACGTCACCGCACCATGATCACTTATACGGTTTTTATCTTTAGTGTCTTTAAAAAGTTTCCGTTCAGTCGTTCTTTCAAGTTTTTGCTGCATAATTTTGTACGCCATTTTTTGTTTCCCATTGAACTATCAATCTATCGCAATAATTTTATACTATATATATTTAAATATATATTAGGACGCGTATCTCTTCGTCAAGCTGGAAATTGCGTGAAATTAATGATTGAAATGAGAGGTTACTCGAAGAAGACAATTGAGGGCGTAATTTTGGCTCTGATAACTGGGCCCCGGTGATCGTTTACACAGCCATTTTTGCTGGCTCGAGCCGTTGGGCTCCGATAAAATGCTGTCGTGTGAACGTAGCAATTGTGCAGTATGCAGTTACTCTGTAAAAAGTGTTATTATTCTTATTAGAAATGTAAAACTTTCTACACTGTTGGAATAATGTTTCTATTATCACAACAGATCAAATTGAACCATAAGTCCAAACTGTCATAAAAAGTACTTTATTGATGAGAGAAGCATTTAATAAGAAATGTACACTTTCGGAGTTATTTACAGCATTTCTGGTTGATATGGCCTCACTTTCACTATCAAGGGAAGGATTCATAATACAAATGTGTATTTATAAAATAATCTCTACA